CAGGGCATAATTTCAAGCACACATAGGCCGACTGAGTGATTCAGAAGATGCTGAAAAGAAAAAACGGGTAGGGAGAGGAGGTTTCAGACTGCCTCTCTGAAGCCTAACTCTCAGACCCAGTCACTGCTCTTTCAGCTGTTATTTTAGGGTCTTTTATTTTCAGCACCTTACCAAGGAAGTGCAGAATCTGTCCCAAGTGGCCTTCTCACCTGGTTTCCAGTGACCTCAGCGCATGGTGGGAGGGCCTCAGAGGCATGCAGACTCTGGATTAAATTTAGATGCAGAACTGTTTTGCATCCTTCTTTCTGTGCGTAATCTGTTCTGCCAAGTTTTCCCCTTTATAGTCAGGGACCAGCCAATTACCATGAAAATCAGATGAATAAATATTGAATAGAATGTGTTCTGCGTCTATTTTGGTGTCCTCACAGCAAGGGAGCAACATACGTTTTTAATTAAGTCTTTCCTTTCCATTTTCTTTTCAGCTAAAGCTATCCTCCATCAGATCAATTAAACCAGATAATCAGATTCAGCTAAAAGCCCCCCAAAAGAATAGTCATTAGTAGGTATGACTTAACAAGTGTTCCCAACTGCACTGCAAATTTCTCCTCCAAACCTGAAATTATATGAACAGCACAGCTTTGGGATTGGCTTGTGTGGACAGAGTTTGACCATATTATTACAACCCTATTACCTCATTTTCTACACCATCTTGATACTGATTTGAATGTACAACATATATATTGTTAGTAGAGTATCTTTCTCTTTCAAAAGCATTCTTTGGTCTAAAAAGACTAAATGAACAGAAATGTAACCATCTTTGTTTTGTATGATGACATATTTAGCTAGATTTAGCCATATCATGTTTTTAAATAGCCCAGATTTCAACTGAAATATTTATATTCTCATAAAATTGCTTGATAATTTTCTCTCCTGTTTTCTTTTTATAAAACTACAAGTGAATTGGTGGACAGCTTATGCAAAGACAGAACTCTGGGCTGGTTCCATTTAGAAAACTTGGTTTGTGGTTCTGCAACTGCACACCACATCGAATGTGCTGCTATACTTAGTAGGGTATGATGTCCCCAGGTCATCTGTTTGGATTCTCAATTCCTAACCTGTAAGAGCCTGGGTTGGTCAAGCACTCATCGGTTGAACACCTCTGTGTGCCAGGTACTGGGCCCAAAGCAGAAAATTACTGCAAAAATAAGATTGCTACTCATACGGAGGTTATATTCTAGTGGAAGGGGGAATCAAATAATCAAATTAACAACTGAGCAAATGCTTGTTTGTGATAAGTGTATTAAAAAATAAGTCAGAATAAAGAAATAGAGTATCCAGGGGATACTCTGGTTTATCAGGGGATTCCCTGACAAGCCTTGTCTGATTTGAAATAAGCCCAGTTCATACTCACACTAAGCAGTGAGTATGACCATATCAACCTGATAGATACTCAAGTCAGATAAGCACTCACAAGCAAAGGCAGACTTCACTTATAACAGAGAGTCCAAAGAATCCTAAAGAAAAGAGTAAGTGTCCAAACCTAACAATTACTATACCAAGACAAAGTAGCATTTATGATGGGATCATGGCATCAGAAAAATCTACCTGTGTCGTTCTCCATATTGAAAGATTTAAGAAAAAATTATTAACTCAAAAGATGCTGAAGAAGCATGTGATAAAGTTCAGAGGCAATATATGATAAAAGTAATAGGTAAACATTCCACCAAAGAGGAGATTTTCTTTTAAAATTGGCTTACAGATGAATACCAGGTGTCCAAAATGATGTTCAGGTTTAGGAGGCACTCGGTGCATATTTACTGAATTAATTAACTAATTAATTAAGTCCCTTAGGTTGAGATGGACCATCTACCAAAAACTTACTGCAAATACTCTTCTTAATGGAACAAAATCTCAAAATAATTCCTTTCAGCGTGGGCCAGGCAATGGCGCCCCCTTCTGGTCAGCGCTCAAAGGCACAGCAGAGTGAGAACAGGTGTAATGATGAGCAGGAGGTGCGTTATCTATCAGTGCGTGCAAAGGTAGGACCCGGTTCCAGTAACACTCTGGATTCACAAAGATCACACCACACTCATCTTTCCATAGCAGTGCTTGTTGAGAAAGGTACCTAGCCACAAAACTTCACTTACAGCGGGGTCTAAACCTAGACACTCTGGGAAACCACCTAACAAAGGAAATGGAAGAACTTTCTGGAGAGAATTTTGAAACTTCACCAAGGATAACTGAGTGAATGGAGAGTTATGTCATGTTTGTGGATGTGATGATCTAAGATTTAAAAATGTTCCTTCTCCACCAAATTAATTTACACATTCAATGTGAGTCCTACCAAAATTCCTGCATGTATTTTTGGGGATCTGATAAACTGATTCAAAAATCAGAATAAATATGGGGTAATATGATCAAAGTGTGTTACGTGCATGCATGGAAATGTCCTAACAAAATCCATTATTTTGTACAATTAACATATGCTAATAAAAAGAAGTGACACAGTAAAAGTTAATCGTATGGTTTATAAAAAAATAAAGTCAGAATAAAGAATGGTAAATGTCTGAGAAGAGCAAATGAAGTTTGCATAAAGGAGAATCAAGAGGAAGGAGTCACATCACTAGATGTTAAGACAATTTTACAGCCATTATGATAAAATGTATAGTACCTACACAAGGAATAAGTAGATCAATAGAACAGAAGTAAGACTCCAGAAACAGATCCCAGCCCAGAATACAGTCAGAAGGAACATTGGTATGGCAGAGAAAATATGAATGATTTGGTAAAAGGTGTCAAAAATGAGCTTACTTTATGGAGGCTTTAAAAATAGGTATCTTCAGCTGGAACTAAAACTTAATTGTGAAAGCTAAAGTTAATAGAAGGAGACATAGAATGCAGTTTGTTTGTAACTTGTGGGTGAGGAAAAAATTTAAACTAAAAAATCATAAACCATAAACTGAAAAACTGATGGATTCAGCTACATTCTAAAGAAAAACCTCTTTTGATGGAGAACATCACAGACAAAATTATCAGATTAAAAAAAAAGAAAAGCAAGGGTTGGTGGCATGGCTTAAGTGGTAGTTTCTTGGCTAGCAAGCACAAGAGGCCCTGAATTCAAATGCCAGTACCATCAAAAAAAAAAAAAAAAAAAAAAAAGCAAAAGCTTTCACATGGAATTTCTATTGCTAAAAAACTCAACAAGAAAACCCAGTTTTAAAAAAGTCAAGCCTGGCAGAATGACTCAAATGGTAGAGCACCTACCTAGCAAGCATGAGGACCTGAGTTCAATCCCCAATACTGGAAAAAAATGAAGTCAAAAGAAAAATATGGGACAAGATAAAAGCATTAAAAAAATTACAGGAGATACCTGGCAAACTGCTAATGACATGTAATTAAAATTGAAAATTAGACTATGAGGTGTCCTTTTACTCTTTACTCCTACAGACTAGCAAAACTAGGGAGACGTCATCAAGGAAGAGCATGGGGGACCCCTTGCGGTCTGCTAGTGAGCCTCTCAGTGGTCCAGCTAATTGAAGAATGCAAATGCAATCCCTGGTGAAATTAAACACATGCATTTCCTCTGTCTAAAAGTTTCACTCCTGACACTTGCCCCAGAGAGACTCAGAGACTTTGTACCTTAGTACAGAGAAAAACATCCATGATGCTTTGTGGCAGCTTAGGTGCCCTTCTCCAGAGAGCCCAGTAAGTGACGTGCAGAATGTGTGTACGATGGACCCGAGGCAGCCCACCCAAGTATTGAGCCCATATACAGAAAGCACCATCAACATTTCTCAAAAACACCCTGGGATAAAAAATATGAAGGGAAAGGGGATTTATGGAACAGCATCATGTTTGCAAGTTTCTAAAAGGCACAAACATAAAAACTATATTTTCGTAGATGATGTACATGTAAAAAAATAGCTACTGTAGGTGGGCTGGAAGGAAGTGGTCACTTTCATTACAGTCCATCCTTGGGGAAGCGGTGGCCTTAGTGCAGAGGGCAAAGGGACTATGCAAAGACAGATGTTTTGAGAGCACCAGGAGCTGGGATGTGCTGGCATCTCAATCTGACTCCCTCAATCATCTCGGGTAGCCCCTCCCTGCTCCCACCCATGCATCCCATATGGTTAAATTGTGTGCAAGTTCAATGCTATTGATTGATTCAGACCTACTATCAATCATTGAAATAATTCTACTTAAATCATTCTACCTTGTGCTTTTTGTTTTCACAGCCTAAGAAGTTGTAAACAACAATCCTGGGAATACTCAATGGTTAAGTTGATTTAATTGCATTTATTAAACTTAACAATTATTGGGCTATACCGAGGGTAAAGGCAAATATATTCACTGATTGGGAGGTGGGTGATTCAGCCAAATGCACAGAATTTTTTAGACACACTGGTACCAACACCAGGTCACCAGGCATAACTTCTCTGAACAGGAAAACAAGAGACTAATTGGGGTAGGGGCGCCTACTGCTCAGCATTTTTACAGCCTCAGCAACTCAATATTTGAGATAAATATTAAAAATCCAAGAGCCTGTATATCCTTGTCCACTGTGAATGTATTTGGAAGAAAAACTTTCTTTTCATAGATTTATCTCTTCATAGTTCTCTTTACAGCTTTCTAGTTTTATCTTTCACATTTAGGTTTCAATTCCAACTGAAGTTACTTTAGAATATGATATGGAGTAGAGACTCAATGTTTTTTAAGTCTCTATATAGTAAGCTTAAAATTCTGTTTATTTATCTTAAAGGACATGGATTGGGGCTTTTAGCCGGGGCCATGGTAATTTCCCAAGTTCTATTACTCCCACAGGGCACTCACCCTGGACACCTCTCCTTTGGCTCTGACCAGAAGGCCTAAGTCCTCTGTCCCAGCCAGGCATGCACAGGTAGAGGAGACAGTGCGGTGGTTACCCCACCACACTGCTCAAGAAGTAGACATGGTTAAAGGTAGGTATGAGCTCACTGGAAGGCCCTTGCCTCATGCCTCACCGTGCCTTCAGGATCCACCAGCAGCAGGTGCTTGGCCTGGCCATTGTGCATGCCTGTGAGGACAAAGGAGCCAGGGTTGGTGGTACTCTTCCTGACAAGGAAGTCTCCATCTTTCGCCAGCAGTCCCTCTGCCTCCTTCCTGCTCATCTCTCCTTGGTACCAAGGCTCAGCATCCAGCTCTTCCAGCATCTTGGCGTCTGGGGCTCTGGGTGAGACGGGGCTGATGCACTCCACTGAGGCTGCTTTGTTCAACATGGGCCCCAAGGACTGGTTCTTGAGAGCGTCTTCAAAAGGTTCTGTCAACAACATTTTCCAGCAACAAGTCAATCCCAAGAAAGAATGATAAAAACATGGTGTGAGAGATGAAAATGCAAACACAACTTCTTGGGAGAGAGTGACTAGAGAAAAACAACTGGCTGGTAGTATAACAGGATTCATCACAAACGTTTAAAGCACATCCCAATTTTTGGCATGACTCACTCTGGTGAATCTGCTTTCCCCAGATAGCTGGGAGTTGTGCTTTGTGCCAAGGATTTAAGCACACTCTTTGTCTAGCTATTGGGAATGACTTCATTGTTACACGCTATACACATTTCATGCGACCTACTTTCCTTAGAAAATCAGACAGCCTCAACAAATTTGTACAAAAATTTGCCAATACCAAAGGAAAGACAACCTACAAAGCTTTGATTTCATGCAAAACCTAAGCCCAATCCACTGAAGGTTCATTTCAAAATCCTCGGGTGCCACTTGTGTGACCTACTCCAGGCTACAAGTTCTACTTTCCCTTCATTCATTTCTATAGCAAAAAGTTTTTATCTGGTGAGCCTGTCATCCCAAGTTATGTGGGAGGCTGAGCTTGGGAGAATCATAGTTTGAGGACAGCTCAGACAAAAAGTTAGCAAGACCCTATCACAACCGATAGCTGGGTGTGGTGGCATGTGACTATCATTCCAAGCTATGCAAGAGACTGAGATCAGGAGGATTGCAGTTCTAGGCTAGTCCAGGCAAAAAAGTTTGCAAGACCTCATCTCAATGGTAAAAAGTTGGGTGTAGTGGTGCATACCTGCCATCCCAGCAGAGGTGGGAAGCATAAACAGAATCAAGTCAGGTGGCCTGGACAAGAAGCAAGACCCTATCTCCAAAATACCCAGAGCAGAAGGGGCTGGAGGTGTGGCTTAAGTGGTAGAGTGCCTGCCTAGCAAGCATGAAGCTTGTACAAACCCCAGTACTGCCAAAAAATGTTTGTTTTTTATTTTATTTTTATTTTTAATATGGGTACCTGATACCACTCTTGGCTTGGTTTCCTTTGGAACACACTTCTTGCTCTAGAGGGACTGGTAAACTGCTGGTCTACAGCACCAAATACCAGTGCCAAAAGAAGTAGCCAATTAAATTTCAACATTCAGTTTTCCTGTAAAGTGATACGTACAACATCCCCAACATCATCACCATCGCTGCCACCCGTACTATTACTTAGCTCTAATGGTTCATGATCAACACCATACAGTATTGCCTTTACTTCCATCCATCTCAGTAGATACAACCCCCTTTAAGCCCTTTCTTCTTTCTGTCTCCTTCTCTGCCTTTGGGAGTAGGAGTAGAAGTTAACTGGAGAGAAGGATGCTCTGGTTCTCAGTGCTCTCAAAATCCAGCCCCACCTAACTCTCCTCAGGCTCTGAGGCCAGGAGTCACTGTTAAATTGACTAAATTAAACAGTAGAAATGATTTTCCTGGAAGTACAGCACTAGACCACAATAAAGAGAAACTGAAAGAACTGAACAGAGGCTGGAGGCTCTGCTCTGCTTTACAACTTGGGGAAGTGGCTTCATACTTCTCGGGCTGTTTTCACATTTTTTTTAAATGAAGGGATTGGATGGAGTGATCTGTAAGCTATCTTCAGGCAGTGACACTCAATAGTTCTTTGGGTTCAGGTGATTTTTGTCAAAGTGGGAGTTAGACTGGGAAGCCGCAATGGCTGAGGAAGAGTAAAGTGTGGGTATCGTGATGCTGCTTAGTCTTCAGAGCACTTAACCCAATCTTCACCCACATGAGATACCATGAGCAGCAAGTGTTGGACCAGCAAGGCTGTCTTTTACATGTGATGAGGTTACTTAACTTGTAGGATTCTCCATTTCCTCCCGATAAATTAGGGATAGTAACAGTAATAATAAAATCTATCTGTAGGGTAATTGAGAAAAATCAAACAAAATAGCAAGTGCCTAGCACAGAGTAGCAACTCATTCAGCCCTAGTCTCCTTTCCTGTCCTTTTCAGCTTGCTAAGTTCTCAAGGAATTAAAAAAGGAAAACTTTAAAGTATAAAGCTTTTTGTGAGCTTTGGAAACTCTTTCCAAATTCCTCAACAATAATTTCCACTTTCATCCCATCTAGGTTTGTGAATGACTTAGTTTTCCTAACCTGTACGACAAACAGGAAGTCCACATTGCCATGTGTGACAAGTTCCTGCCATTCTCCTCTCCCAGACCTATGGCCTGTAACTTGGGAGCCCTTCTCACCTGGCAATACATGCTTAGTTGTTTTTTAAGCCCCACCAGAGTAGGGGCTGTCTGTTTTGTTTTGTTAGATATCTTTAATAAGTAGAAAAGTATTTTACGTGTGTTAAGAACTCAATAAATTTTCGGAAGGAGTAGTTGGAAAGAAAGAGTGAGAATCAGAAGGATAAATAGGTGAACAAATGAGCAATGGAGAGAGAACACATGTAAGGGAGGCCCATTGCAATTTCTTGTTTGTATGCTGGTCTTGTTTAAAAGACTGAGACCTCTGAGAATGCAGGACATTTAATCTGTGCATCCTGAGTAAATAACACAATAGTTAGCAAAGAATGGCCAATTAATATTGAAATAAATAGATAAATGAACACATTGATTTGTGTATATCATTTGTCTCAATGCATGGACAAGTCTTCAAGAGCAAAGTCAGTTCCAAACAGGGGACAATTGGTTCTGCCTCTTGACTGCAGAAAGATTTTAGAATCCCAAAGTCTTAAAATGAGCCCAATCTGAGCCCAGAAAAGAGCCATTAATCAAAACCCTGCTTGCAGAAAATTCAATGATTAGATGTATAGTGAATAAAAAGCAGTGTAAAAAGCAACCTCAAAAGAGAAGAAAATGAGAGACCAATGGAAAACCTACTCATGTCAAAGAGGTCTTTCCGTGGGCTGCTCTCGGCACTGCTGGCTGCAGCTGGCAGAGCCTGTGGTGGGATGTGCCGGGTGTTGACATAAGTGGGTGCTTCTCCCACAGTGGCCACATGTCCTTTCCCTTCTGGCATGTTGTAAATGTCCAAGGACCCTGCAACAAGAAAATGAGCCCCTTATTTCTTAGGATGGCAACAAGGTTTGTGCCTCTGGTGTTGGGCTCCCCAGTATTCCAGAGAGGAGCTCCTGAAGCCAGTCAATGAGAACATTCTTCCTGCAGATGTCCTTGAGCTAAATTCTCCTCTTCTAAGCCCAATGCTGCTGTGTCCTGGCTAAGATGTCAAAAAGAGACCTGCTAGTCAATGTCAGGATAGGCACCATGATGGTCAGAGGAGGTGCCCCACTTTTCCTCTCCTTCACAAATGCTCTGATAGGAAATGGCTGAGCAGAACCACAAGCCTTAGTTTAACTGCTCTTTTTTTTAAGTGTCGGTGAACACTTTATGGATTATAAAGCTCCTCCTAACAAATAGAGTCCTTCCTTACAAAACAGGTGTTCCAGATCCACTCCTAGCCTGGGTCTATGGAGCAGGATTGAGAAACACTCCCTGCCACACTTCTGAGGCAGTCACACTGCATCAAAGGGACTTCCTAGTAGGCCAAGGGGTGCTGAGGCTGAGGCCAAGCCTGAGGGTCTTGGCTGTTCTGTCACTCAAGAATGCATGCTTGGGTCACTCTTTTCTGTGTATACCAGTCTCCAATCCACTCACACAAACTCATCCACAACAATGCCCTGGCATTCACATTTCTGTCCTATTCTGGGGTAGTGATGTATTAATGTTGGCTCAGTACCACTGGGAAGAGTCGGTTCAGGACTTTTTTTTCTTTTTGAGACAGGGTCTCACTATGTAATCCAGGTTGATCTAGATCTCACTAAGTGGTACATTCTGGTCCCAAATTTGTGATCCTCCTGTCTCTACCTCTTGAGTGCTGGGCTTACAGGTGAGTGCCATCACACCCAGCTCCAGTTCTGGGTTTTTTAAAAAGTTTTCCCAGTAACTGTTGACAGGTATTTTCCAGCACTCCACCATTGCCCAGGCTGTGCACGTGAGGATGCAGTGTTGTGCAAATATACACAAATAAATAATGGTCCTTCACTGGGGAACTGTGCCTGCAAGATCACAAGCCAAATTTCTGGCTTCTTATCCTTGTACATGATTTGTTTAGCAGGCTGTTCTTGGATTATGTATTCTTGCTCAGCAACCACCAAATAAGGTTTATATGATTGAATATATTACAAACAAATCAGTGATTAGAGAAAGAATTCTACAAACTAATTTTCAAAAAGGAAAAGATCAAAAGTTCCATGAATGCCTTCCTGACAGTCTTTCCAACTGCAGGTAACAGTAGTGGCTGAGCTGGGGCAGAGGGAAGCATGCCATAGTGGCATCTGGAATTAATGCTCACTTTGGAGGAATGCCGACTGGCAAATTAGTAAGTGTCATTCCTATTTGTTCTATGGGAAAAATGTGTCTATTATTCCAAATAAGACCTTGAAATTTATCAAGAACATGAGTCTCTGTTCCGATTGGGAGCTTATGTAAGGTTCATTTTTCCCTCATGCACCTGCTGTGTTCTGTACTGCTGTGTTCCTGGCTGGAATAGCAGAATATATTTTTTAAAAGATATATTTTAAAATAAATCTGACATATTTTACCATAAAGTAAATATCTAGAGGAACTAATGTACCTTCTTTAGTCTTTAACAGTTATACTTACAAATGCACATGCTATTTAAATGCATTTGAAATATTTGTGGGACAAAGCTCATAGTGAAAAAGAACCTCTGGCAAAATTACATCTTTGATTTGCTATATTCATTGCATTAGAGGCAGAGTCAGGTTGTTACTTCAGCAGGACTACTGTGTTTGGTTGGCTAGGCTAATACTATGAGTCTTTCTTCAGGTGAGACAGAAATGGAATTCTTACAGGAAAATTTAGAAAACTTATTGTTGCTTGTGCCCTGGCACAAATGGCTAGAATGAAGGGATAAGGCTTAATGTTAAACCAGTAAGTGGCTGAATTTATATTCATAAGGCATCAGTTATGTCCAGCTTCTTCAGACACTCTAGGCTTAGTAACAGGACATATTGAAAGAGTTGTGAAAAATTTTGAGAAGGGAAAAAAGTTAAAGTTGAAAGAAGTCTTTAAAGAATAGATTGGATAGATATATAGATGAGTGGATGGATGGAAGTAAATATAAATAGATAGATAGATAGATAGATATAGACAGAGATAGATTTAGATGAAAGAGATAGATGATAGATAAATAGACAGACAGGATGGAGAGAGAATACATATATATATATATACTATGTATATATAAATAACTATAGAAAGTAAAGATTTTTATGAGTAGTTAGTAGCTAGTTCTTAGTTAATGTAAATTATAGTTATATCTGGATATATCTAAATTAGATATCTACATTAGATATTTAGATATCTAGATTATACATACTTACATTAGATTAGATTTAGTTATAACTAAATTATTTTTAGCATGTGATATAAGCATGTGTTATTAGATTTGCTAAGACACGGACATGTCTTCTCAAAGTACCGGGGGCCTATGAGTGACTTACATCTGCAGTACCTCCTGTGCCATAAACCCCAGCCTCAAGCAGGTACCAACATTGCTCCTGAAGCTGCCCCTGAGTGGGGGGCATGAAGGGGAAGTGAGATGAGGAAGGACAAGAAATCACTGCAGGAGACACGGGCTCTCCCTTGCTGGGGAACACAGAGCTTTTTTGTAAATAAAATACATCTCAGAGGTTCTTCACTGACTACTGTTTGACATTGGTAAAGGTGTTCCTGGAATATCAATTCCTCAGCAGCCCTGGGCAACTAAGCTCTGGCCAGAGGAAGCCTGCCAGTGGCCAGTCTCCAAGGTACATAAAGACAGTGAGTGCTAGTGGGTCTGAGCTGGACCTGGGACTGCAGGGAGGCACCACAGGATTTGTGCCAGTGGACATGGGAGAAAGATGCTGCCCCTCTAAGGGGTCTGTAAGGAATTTGTAGCACTGCTCACAGCAAACCTTTGCAAGGCCTCACCCTGCTACTCCACAGGAAGTGATGACTCACTGGCGAGCCCCTGTTTGTTACCAGTGTGTTTCGTGTTTCTCACCTACCTTGCCCTGCCTCTCACCTTGCCTGATGGGAGTTCGCTGCCAGTCTTCACCAAACGTGTCTCCTAAGTGTCTTCCCTGGTAATAAGTTTGCTCTTTTCCTGAAAACTATAGACACATGTAAATACACAGAATGAAAGAATTATCCTCTCATTCCCCATCTTTGAAAGCCACAATGCAGTGGTAGGACTTTGATGGGTGGACTGCGCCCTCTGTTACATTCAGTTTTTCCTTCATGGCTCATGGATGGCATTTTGACAAATAAGTTTATGTGGGTGGTATACATGCACCCTGCTCATTTTTATGACTCCCACAGCGCACCTCCCCCACCAACTACAACTGTTATAGTGACCTCTTTCATGTGTGGTCATGTCATTCAATGTAACCTAAAATGAATTACAATTGGAGTATCTATGTGACATATACCACTTCCCACTAATTCAGAGGCCCACAATCATTCACATTTGGGGAAGTCTGCTCTGAAAATCAGGAAATTCCTCTGTCTTAGATCTTTGATTTCAATGTTAGATTGCCATTTTTATTGACACCATTCTCATTGACATAAGTAGGTAATGTTAAAATTTTCCAGGGCTGGGAGTGGTGGAGTATGTACTTAGCATTCACAAGGCTCTGGATTCAATCCCCAGCACCATAAAAAAGAGGAAGGGAAGTAATTTCCTATAACAAGATAGAAATATAATAACTCTAAAAAGCAGTTTTAAGTTAAAGGGGAAATTTGGGGCTGAAGGGGGAATGGATAAAATAGAAAATACATTAAAAATCTCATAATTTAAAGGCCTATACTCACTCTTTTTTCAGAGAACCCAGAGCACAATAAGACATTTAAAAAACCTTCAGTTCTGTCTCCTGCTCATTAAGATCACCATATGATGGGATTTGTCCTAGGATGGAGAGGACTCCCAGGCTCACATCTCAGGAATCACAATTTAATTGCAAGGCACTTGGCTAATGCACTGTGATATTAAGCAAAAACCTCTCTTTGTCACATGTTTTGTGAAGTGAAGTGAAAGAGTTCGTGAATGATCATGGCAAAAGCTAAATGCAACATCGATCTGAAATAAAACTGAAGAAAATGAAAAAAAAAAAAAAAAGGTCCAGTGAGCCTCTGTCCAAGGAGAAAGCATGAGACTCACCTGGGCTGTGTCAGGAGCATGGGGTCTGGTTTTCAGTCGTGCATCAACAAACCCTCCTGGAGGAGGCATCTTGCTGGGAATGCTGTTATAGTAAGGGTGGTCTGGACCATCTCCCTCCTCTTCTGTCCACGGCTCATCAAGACTCTGCATTCTGTCAAGAGATTTCCAAGGGCTTTTGCCAACACTTGAGCTTGAATGCAAGGCCAACAGATCTAATGTCAGTACCTACTATGGTTTGGATGTGGTTTAAGTGTGAACGCCCTCACCCAAATTTTTTTGTGTTGAAGGCTTTGTCTCCAGAGTGGTAGTGTTGTGAGGTACTGGGACCTTTAAGAGGCAGAGCCCAGTGGGATGAGGTCCACAGGTAATGGACGGCATGCCCTCCATCAGTGTGTTTCCAGACATTTAAGGAAATCTGTCTTCAATTGTTGGCAAAGTAACATAGGTAACCAAGTGGAGCCATCAGTGGGTATATATGACAAAAAATAGAGTTTTTATAGAATTAGTGAGGAAAAGTCACTAAAACAAACAGCAACAGTAACAAATCCTGAAAAAGAGAGAAATCTGATTACCAAAATTACTACACCATGTCATTTAAATTTCCATTCCAAAAAATATGAGGCATACAAAGAAACAAAAAAGGAAGAGCTCATATATAGGAAAAAATAAATAGTGGAAACTGTCTGTATAGAAACTCAGACTTTGGACTAAGTAAATAAAGACTCTAAATTAACTACTTTCAGTGTGTTCAAAGAACTGAAAGAAATCATGTGTAAAAAACTCAATAACAATGCCTCACAAAATAGGGCATCTCAATATAAATACAGAAATAAAAAAACAACCAAATTTAAAAAACTTGCTTGAAGGTCTTACGGTGGATTTGCACATGCAGAAGAATGACAGAACATAAAGATAGGTCAATTGAGATGAATAGGTCTGAGGAACAGAAACAAAAAAATAATTAAGAAAAATGGACAGAGCCTCAGAGATTTGTAGGACGTGCCATTAAGTATACCAACATATACATAGATAATGGAGTCCCCAAAGAAGAGAAGAGACTGAGAATGACAGAAAAAAAAAAAACTTGAAGACATAATAGTTAAAAATATCCCCAAATGTGGTAAAAGAAAGCATTGATCTATACATCTAAGAAGCTAAAAAAAAAAAAGACCTAAAAACCTCAAATTAAGATAAACTCAAAGAGATTCATACATCATAATCAAGTTATTTAAAGCCAAAGAGAAACAGAATCTTGAAAATCACAAAAGAAATGACTCATCCTATACAAGGGACCATCAGTAACGTCAACAGCTGATTCTTACCAGACCCAACAGAGGCAAGACAGGCAATAGAGTAACTGACTCCATGTGCTAAAAGACTGCCTACCAAGAACTCCATGTTCAATAAGATCAGAATGCAAAAATGTAACAGAAAAGATATTCCCAGCTTTTAAAAATGGAGAAAATTCATTGTTAACAAATCTTCTCTACAAGAAATATTAAAAGTACTTCAGATTGAAATGAAAGGACACTAAATCCATATTTACATAAAAAAGCAGAGAATAATGCAAAGTTAACAGACAAATATAGAAGACAATATAAATGTACTTTTTGCCTATAACTTTTATTCCTCCCCTCTAAAAGAAAACTGTATAAAACAATAATTGTATCTGTGTTGATGGGCCACATAAATAACAATGTAATTGGCATGACTATAACAAGACACTGGAGGGTGGAAAGATGGAGCTACACAGGAGCAAAGCTTCTGTGTACATAAAAATTAAGTTGCTTCATCTGAACTAAATTGTTATAAATTAAGATGCTAATTGAAATTCCTATAGCAACCAATGAGAAAATTACTTTTTTTCCCTTTTTTTGTTATTATTGTACTGGGGGGTGCACTGTGACATTTACAGAAGTTCTTACAATATATCACAGAAAATTACTTTTAAAAAACAGTAAAAGAAATGACAAATTAACAGGATACACTTGAAAAATATTTATTAACATAAAGGAAATAGTAATGGAAGAATAGGGGACAAAAATGACATAAAATGTATAGAATATAAATATCCAAATGTCAGAGGAGAGTTCTGAAATATCAGCAAATTGCATTAAATAAAAATGCATTAAACATTCTAATTAAAATCAGAGATTAGTGCAACTGATAAAAAATTATCTAACTATATGGTTTGTTTTTCTTTTTTGTTATTACAATTATTTTTTCTTTTTTTATTACCATATATTAATTGTACAAGGGATTTCACTGTGATATTTCCATATAATGGAAATACAATATGCATATAATGTATTTTGATCAAATTCGTGCCTTCAACTACTGTTTCTTATCCTCATACTCCCCTCTTTAAATAATTTAAATGGGTATAAGTATTCTGTTTTCATACATGCATACAAATTACTTTGATCATCTTCACCCCCCTTTCACCCTCTTCTTCTATCCTTCCCACTCCTGCTGGATCCCACCCTGACTCTACGTTTTCTATGAGAAACACACTTTAGAAAGAAAAACTGGAGGGGGAAATAGATAATACAACAATAACACTTGAAGCCACAAATATGACACTTTTTATAATAAATAAAACAACTGGACATAAGATTGGGAAATGGAAGTTTAAACAACATAAAATATCAACTTGAGACATCTATAGAACACTCCACTCAACAACACAGATCAAAATTTCTTTTCAAGTGTAAAAGGAACTTTCTCCAAGACAGACCATGTATGTGTTAAGGTAAGAAGTGAACCTCGAATATCTTAAAGGACTGAAAATATGCAAAGTATATTTTCATGTAATAATAGAATCAAAATAGAAATCAATAGCAGAAGGAATTACATAGGATTCACAAAATGTAGAAATTAATGTTCTTATAAACATGGATCAAAAAAGAGATCATAAGGCAAATGAGAAATTTCTTTGAGATTAATGAACAACATGTCAAAATTTTTGGGGTAAAGAAAAAGAAGTGCTTAGAGGGAAATAACTATATTATAAAACACTTAATGATAAAGAAAGATCTCAAATCAGTTACTGATCGTCTATCTTAAGAAACCAGAACAGGAAGAGCAAACTAAGCCCAAAGCAAGCAAAAGGAAGAAAGTATTATTAAGGCAAGCAAAAGGAAGAAAGTATTATTAAGGCAAAAATAAACAATAGAAAAATGATAAAGGAAATTAATGAAACGAAGAGTTAGATCTTGGAAAAATCACCAAAACTGTCAATTCTTTAGCTAGACTGACTAAGAATAAAAAGAGAGAAGACTCAAATGATAAAAATCAAGAACAAAAGAGGGCACGTTACTAAAAAAATGAGTAATTGTAAGGCAACAAATTAAACTACTTGGATAAAATGGAAACAGTCCTTAAAAGACTCCACTACCAAAACTGACTCAAGAAAATATTAAAAATCCGAATATATTTGTAAAAAGTAAAGAAATCGAATTAATCATTAAAAAAATTACTCTCCCAGAAAAGACCAGGATCATACAGCTTCCTAGTGAATTCTAACAATATTTAAAGTAAAATTAACAGCCATTCTTCACAAACTCTTCTGAAAAATAGTAGAGAAGGCAGCACCTCAAAACTCAACCTATGAAGCCAGTAATACCCTAATACAAAAACCATACAAAGATACCAAAAGAAAAGAAAATGGAACATCATTATCTCCTATGACTATGGATGGAAAAACCTCGATTGAATCCTAGCAGACTAAATCCACCAATATAGAAGGGGAATTATACGCCATGACCCAGAGGGATTTATCTTAGAAATATAAACTTGGTTCAACATATAAAAATCAGCTAATGTGATATATCCTATCAACAGAATAAAAACAAATGCCACATTATTACTTCAATATAGACACAAAAATAATTTGAAAAAAACCCAGTACCTTGCATTATAAAAACACTCAAAAAATTGGGAGGTATTTCTGATAAAGGCATCTATGAAAAGCTCACAATTAACAACTTAGATACCAGTGAAAGACAGGATGCTCTTCCCCTAAGATCAGGAACATGCCTCCTGTAGTCATTGTACTGGAGGTTCTAGCCAGAATAATAAGATAATACAAAGAAATCAAGGGCTTCCATATTAGAAACAAAGAAATAAAACTATCTCTATTTGCAGATAGCAGGGTCTTATAAATAGAAAATCCTAAGGTATGCACAAAAAAAAGCTATGAAAGCTAATAAAGAAGTTAAGAAAGGTTGATGGCTATAAGATCAATGTACAAAAATCAACTATATTTTACACATTAATAATGAAGAAATAAAAACAGAATTAACAAAGAAATCCATTTATCTTTGTTAGGAAAAATGCCACTCTCAAAGAAAGCTCACGAGAAAAGTCTCACGTCCATAGAGCAAAGTTTAATGGCAGGCCCAAACTGCCAGGCTGGCCCAGGAAAAGATGGTGCAGCCCTGAGTCTAGGCGAGCAGTGGCTTTTATAGAAGGGGGAGGGTAAGGAAGTTAGTGCATGTGCAGTAGTCTCTGGGTAGGGGTGGGGCTGTCTTAGAGCACAGGAATTTAAGGGCAGGGCTGCCATTTTGGCTGATTCACAAAATGGTGATATTATTGTTCTATCATTCCCCCATTTTTTCTTTAATAATGATGAGGATAGGGGCTGAGGATCAGGAATTGGGGCGAAGCATTGGTCTCTTTAGCTGCTTCCTGCTGGCAGGGGTCATTGTATGGGGCAAGATCCTCAGGCTCCTGTGTCCTGGTGGGGGCCCTCATAGCAGTCCTCTGGATGGTTTTGGAGAGGTTGGTATCTCTGGAGGTACAACTGGTTAAATTTTTTATTAGCAAGAGGGAGAGAGGAAGAGAGAGAGAGAGAGAGAGAGAGAGAGAGAGAAAAGTGGTTCATGCTGATTGGAGGTTGGGGCAGAAGGGGAATTCAAGCTAGACTTGAGGCAGGACGGTGACCCTGGGAAACAGAAACTTAAGGGTGCAGTAAGAACTGAAACCTATCGGCACCATTATTGCCAGCATTCCTCCTTTTTTGTTTGTTTAAGGAAGGGGGGCGTTGTGTTCACTCTGACTTCTTCAAGCTGGCAAGGGGCAGTGTAGGGGAAGGGAGGGTTAGTTGACAAACAGTGCTGGGGTGGTGAGTCTCATGATGGTGTACACCCA